CTGCGCAACAGCCTCGCTTGAGCGGCCCGAGAACACCCCGCAGCGCGCCCCTGCGCACCTGCCGGACGCAAAGAGGGCGAGCCCGCAACCACACAGAGCCCCCGGACGGCGGCGCCCAGAGCTAGGAGCACTGTGACCGCAAGGGCTGGGAGAGAAAACACCTGGCGCTTGGGGCCCCGGGGTGCCGGCCGCACGTGGCTGTCACACCTGGCGCGCCCCCGCCTCGCACCCCTTCCCCCTCAGACCCGGGTGAACCCTGTCCTCCCTCATCCCTCCCGCGGAGAGTCCCCAAATCCCAACCATCGTCTCTTCCCACCCCATCCATCCCGGTCCCACCCCCCCACCTGCTCCCACTGTCGTCACCCCCAAGAGGGAAAAGAGCCGGATGTTCGTCCCATGGCTAAAGGTAACCAAGGAGAGTGAAGCGGTAGACCCAAATAACCGAGGATCCCCCTGGCCCATCAACAACGAGGGCGTCCCCCTGACTGACCTTCTGCCGCGGGCTACGTCGCCGTCCGCCCCGTCCGGCCTCAATAGCCTCCTCGGCGCCTCCGCCTCTTCCCCGCGCTGCCTCCTCTAACCGCGTCGCCATGAGGTGACGGCAGCAGCCAAACAAGCGGCCCGACAAGGGGCACGGAACCTCGCAGGGCCTTGAGCCCCGCCCCCGAACGCCACGGCCAATTGCCGCGTGGGAAGGTTGCCACGTGACCGGAGGAGGTTGGCCCCCGAGGGAAAGCGGTGAGATGGGGGTGGGGTGCACCGAATCCTGGGCTGGGCTTCTGCTCGGGCCGAAGGGCGGACGGAGGCCGCGCGCGTCTGCGCGGACTGGAAAAGGGACTTCGCAGCCGACTACGAATCTTAGCAGGCTGCGCGGCCACGGCTGTCAGGCCTGGTTCGCGATTGGAGCATAATGCGGTGTTCTGAGAAGAAAGGAACGCCCACTCTGCTCCATGTGCAGCCTACTGGGACTTGTAGTTTCTAGGGGTAATGTCTCGGTACCGGAAAGTATTCGTTATTATCCTACAGGAAAAGTTTTAAAATATTCCAGTGTTGAGAAGGGATAGAGTCAGGGACACCTGGTTGTGTTTTTTATTTTGTTGCTATTCTTCGAAATTAAGTGCGAATGATTTAGAGATAAGGGGGATACTTTGCGATTTTCAAGGCGGGAGATGTAATGGCTTCAGAATTAGAGGCTCTAGGCTCGGATATTTGCTGCGAGCCCAGCCCCTCCAGCAGAGTTCTCACGACGGTTTACCAGTACCGAGCTCCTTTGGGGTGGGAGCCGCGTTCTGTACACCTTGACTGAACCGCCCCTACTTCTAGCATAGTTCCTGTACTTCGATGCAGCTTAATTCATGTTGAATGCATTCTGCTTTCTCCGCCATTCGTTTCATTTCTTAATTTCTCAACAGACTCGGTTTGCTGAATCACTTATTTTTATTGATATGATGGGGGGGATGTACCTCAGGAATATTCCGTTTCCCTCTGATGGAACAAGGTCTCCAATGGCTGAGCTGAAAGTCACCGATCATCATGGGATCCTGACATATTGTCTCAAATAATTCGTTATGAAAATTTGTGTAAATCCTATGCCATTTTTTATTAGAGTTGAACACAAGACAGTGGTAGCAGGCGTCAAAATTTAATAACATGCATGAGAGTAAATTTAAATTTGGGAAAATTCCATTAATTTAAATTGTTTTTTAATTTGAAATAAGGACCATTATTTCATTTCATGGGCAGAACAGCTCAGTTAAGCTTTGAGATTTCAAAACGAAAGCATACTTTGAGACATAGGTGCCAGCTGAAAATGAACCCATTTTCAGACTATATAAAGCTGATGGCCTCAGCCACCCTGTCTCATCTTCTTAAGGAAAAAGCCCCAGGGAGAAACAGAATAAATGTATCAGCAGTGCAATTCTCCAGGGAACTGAGGGACAAATGCACTGTAGTTAAATTACAGTACAATAGAATACCGGGTAGCTACTAAAATTATAAGCATTATTTAAAATTACCTTAGGGCTGGGGATGTGGCTCAAGCGGTAGCGCGCTCGCCTGGCATGCGTGCGCCCTGGGTTCGATCCTCAGCACCACATATCAACAAAGATGTTGTGTCCGCCGAGAACTAAAAAATAAATATTAAAAAATAAATAAATAAAACTCTAGATTTTAAAAAAAATAAATAAATAAATAAAATTACCTTAGAACGCTGGGCAGGCTAGCACATGACTGTAATCTCAGTTACCCAGGAGGCTGAGGTAGGAGGATAGCAAGTTTGAGGCCAGTCTCAGCAAGGTAGCAAGGCCCTGCCTCAAAATAAAAATTTAAAAAAGGACTAGGGATATGGCTCAGTGGTAAGTGCCTCTGGGTTCAATCCCCAGGACCAAAAAGAAAAAAAGGAAACAACACATAAGGAAGCAATTAGAAGGCCAGGTATATACACAGAATACTATTTTCTGTAGTCCTTATAGTCATGGTTAAATTATTTTAACAGTATTCTGAGTGCAGACATGTATGGACTCCGTCAGATTTGGGAAACATTTTGCACCCTGTAAGCTTGATATTTTTCAGTTTTCACACATACACCATTTTGCTGCACCTTTCTGAACTATTTTGTTGTCCTGGAGTCAGCCTTTGCAATATGTTAGAGATGTGTTGTCTGCTGCATTTTGCACAAACTTTCCCTTTTCGTTTTGGTTAATAATATGTATGAATTATTTCTTTTATTACCTATTTGTAAGACAAGAATATTTCATTCCAAATAAAGAATTCAGGGCTGGGGATATAGGTCAGTTGGTAAAGTGTTTGCCTTGTATTCATAAGGCCCTGGGTTTGATCCCCAGCACTACAAAAAAAAAAAAAAGAATTCAGTCTTAAATTTTCACATATATATGTATATGTATATAAGCATATATATATAATTTCACATATGTATATTATATATATATATAAACCTATGTCAGTGACCTCAAGTCTTAAGCAAAATTAAAAGTTTTTCATTGTTTCATTGTATTTATTTACACACATTCACATCTCAGAAGGGATATGGTGTGAATCACATGCATAATATACTGTAACATATGTAGATGTATTGACAGAAATTCTGCCATATGTATGATGTGTAAATACACACACAGAAATGATACTAAAATGACAGAATAGGAAAATAAGGTGAGGTCATAGTGAGTTGAATCTGTAAAACACATGCCAAACATCTTTGTTTCTTGCATTCCTTCCACAGAAGCCTGAGCCAGGTATAGTAGTACACATCTATAATCTCAGCAACTTGGGAGGCTGAGGCAGGAGGATCACAGGTTCAAAGCCAGCCTCAGCAACTTAGTGAGACCCCTGTCTCAAAAAATATAAAAAGACTGGGAATGTAGCTCAAAGGTAAACCCACCCCTGGGTTCAATCACCAGTACAAAAAAAAAAAAAAAAGACTTACACAAGTGGGAGGTGAGCCAAATTTTTATTTTGAGCTTCTCAACAGCTGAGAAAAACAAAATTTACAGATTGATTCACAACATCACAAAATGAAAACAAACTGGTTGCTCAAGAGAAACATAGCTATTACTGGTCCTGCCAGAAATATGAAGACTATTTCTCAAACATCTTTAACGTACGATCTGGTGGTTTTTCGATCTGCCCACAAGTTTTTCCAACTTCCAAAGGTGCAATGTGAGTCTCTTCCTCTCTTGAATGTGGGTGGAACTTAGTGATTTTTCTTCTAAAGAATATTCAGGCAGAAATGAGATGTACCCTGGGTACTGCCTGGTTCTCTAGTCTTAGATCACTCTCTTCTTTCCCAGGACAGACTGTCAGACTAAACTGATTTTTGATAGACCAACCCATTTTTCTTTAGATTTTTTTGGGGGGGGGGTTATTTATTTATTTTTATGTGGTGCTGAGGATGGAACCCAGTACCTCACACACACCAGGCAAGTGCTCTACAGCTGAGTTACAGCCCCAGCCCTACATTTTTTTTTTTTTTTTTTGTGCACTGAGAATTTAATCACTTAATCCAGGGGCACTTTACCACTAAGCTACATCCTCAGCCCTTCTTTATTTTGAGACAAGGTCTCACTAATTTTCTTTAGATTTTTATCTCAAGTGCCTTCAGAGAGATTAGGCATTCTGTCAAACCTTAGCCTAAGGCTTTGTAAAGCACTTTGTTTATCTATGCTGGGATCCATTGTTGGGGTTGCTTTTTAGGTCTTGAATGGCTACCACTTTTTAAAAAAAAATTTTTTTTTTAGTTGTTGATGGACCTTTATTTCATTTATTTGTTTTTATATGTGGTGCCTCAGCCACTGTGTCTCATCTTCTTAAGGAAAAAGCCCCAGCAAGAAACAGAATAAATCTATCAGCAGTGCAATTCTCCAGGGAACTGGAGCCACAACCCCAGCCCAAAAGGCTACCTTTTTTTTTTTTTTTTTAATTTCCAAGTCTTTAAAGGAAACTGTGTTCTGTCCACACTGATTATTCTCACCTTTGCTCCAGGAAGTCCTTATTATCTGTTAAGAATTGCCCTTGCCAGTAGGGTAAAGGCCACTAGAACAACAGTTCCTCCGGGGCATTCTCTCCAGGCTCCCTAAGGGCTATGGGTAGGGGTCTGAATATCCATTCATATGCTCAGATGTTTACTAAAGTCTTGAGCAAACAGGCACAAAGTAATTTGTGTGAATAAAAGCCCAGTGATGTCCCAGCTCTCTGGCCTTTTATTTATTTATTTGATATTATGGATTGAACCCAGGGGCACTTCACCACTCAGCCATATCCCCAGCCCCTTTTTATATTTTATTAGAGACAGGGTCTCACTGAGTTGTTTAGGGCCTTGTTAAGTTGCTAAGGCTGGCTTTGAACTCAGATCCTCCTGCCTCAGCTGCCTGAGCCAATGGGATTACAGGTGTGCACCACCCCATGGAGCTTCTTTGGCCTTTTAGATGGTCTAACCATCATTTTAATAAAATACAAGGCACTCATGAGAGACTCACCGATATTACAGAGAAAAGATTCTGTGGCCTTTTGGCCAGTATTGGGGAAATGTAAACCACAGAAATGAAAACTGGACACAGGACCATTGAAAGCTTTAGTTTAGAATATTAGCCCAAAGGGAACAGGCTTCAAACTTTCTAGGCTCTTACACCTTATTAAAGCAAGGGTAAGTGACATAATCTTGAATTTCACCAATTTCATCAATATGAGCCCATTTCTTATGCCCAGTTTACTGGCCAACAAGCTAATTATTTCACCAATGAAAACCCATTTCTTCCCAGGCTTAGTGGGGGCATACTTGTAATCCCAATGACTCAGTAGACTGAAGCAGGAGGATGGCAAGTTTGAGGCCAGCCTCAGCAATGTGGTAAGACCCTTTTTCAAAATAAAAAGGACTGGGAGTACTGGGGCTGTAGCTCAGTGGCAGAGAACTTGCCAAGCATGTGTGAGGCACTGAGTTGCTAAGCACCTCACTGTTGCTGAGGCTGGCTTTGAACTCGCAATCCTCCTGCCTCCACCTCCCTGCTGGGATTGCAGGCTTGCACCACCTTGCCTAGCTATTTATATTATTTTGAGACAGGTACTTGCAAAATTACCCAGGCTGTCCTCGAAC